TTTTTTTTTTTTTTATATTATAGTGCTCTACGTCCGGCTCCTTTATTAAGGGCACTACTATGGGCACTTAGCACTTGGGAAAGGGACAAGGAAAGGGATGGGAGGCCTCCCATTATTGAGAGGGGGGGTAGGGGGAAATTAGGCAATTTTTGCTGCGAGAAGGTCGCCTAAACCCTCCTCGAGGAGCATTGCGTGGTGAAAAAGCACATGTGAACAATCACAGAGGTACTTGCCCAACAATGTCGCACTGGCGCGGAATTGAACTACGGTCTCCCGCGTGCCAATCCACGACCTAGCCGACCGAGCCACCGCGCGTTCTTATAAATATACATAATGTTTTTAAGAAGAACGTAATTTTTTTTCAGTGTTACCTACTCCAGTGTAGACGTACTACAAAGTGGAAAAAATTTAATGATTAAATAGTTAATACAGTTTGTAAATTTAATAACTACTTATTAAAATACGTATTATTAGCAAAAAATATCGAGTGCTCGAAGCGCACCTGATCTGTCTAGTAATAATGAAAAATACATTACCGCTGTCCCTGCGGTGTGCCTCAATGCATTTCCCCTCCCTCCACAAAAAAAAAAAAAAAAAAAACAACTACAACAATAATACGAGAACAATCCTTTATGTATCCGTCGACTAGCGTATATATGTCTATACGTGCAGCGAAAGCTGGCCAAAGTATACTTGGGCTGTACGTGTAAAGCAAACACAAACCAACTGATGAATCACATCAACTCTGTTTTACAACGAGAATCTCGTAAGTAGCAAACATCAGCTGGTATACACAGAGCATTTGTCTATTGATATAAATAGAAGCGAGAGTGGATAGCATGTATTAGTCCAGGTCGTTATCTGGAATTTATTGGAAAAAATATTTGCGATCTTATAAACAAATTTCGTAAACTGTTTATTTTACCCTGGAAACATTGTTTTTTAGGATCTTTGGAATACAAAAAAAGATCTCTTGCAACTTTTCACTGAAGTTGGTACTTTCCGAGATATTAATTACTGAAGTTTGAAAAAATTTGAAAATGGCTGTTGTCAACCATGAAAAACCAACAATTTCGATACTACCAAAGTTCTCAAATGTTCCAAAAACATCCTTTAACATATTCCCAAAGTGTTTAATGCTACAACTTGATTGTAACCCCTTGTTATTCGACTCTATTTTTTGTGCTCTGTAAAGCCACCAAAAAAACCTATGTATTGTGAACGAGAGCTGTGTTTGCACTGAGAGAAAAATATAATAAAAATTACTGTGCTGGAATGGTAATCTGGTGGCATTCCGCCGTCTAGGGACTTTTTACTTTGGCCAACCTAATTTTTACCATTCCGGACAGTAATTTCTCTTGTACAAACAGTAAAAATTACTGTTCCAACCACTAAAAATTATTGTTCCAATAGTAAAAAGTCTTTATTACCATTCTAGCACAGTAATTTTTATATTTTTCTCTCTGTGTATTATACATACCTCCCGTTCACGTATGGACGCACTTTTTCGTAGCAAACACGAGTACTCACTTGCAACTTGGCGAGAGGAATGATGTCGCAGTCCGTGGGCCGATGCCAGACCGTCTTTTGCGAGGTCGCGTTGTAGTAGTAGAAACGGGACGTGCTCTGGTCGAACAGTTCCCACCACTGATTGTTGTCCGTCTTTTTTCTGCAAGAATAAACGCATTATGACGACAATATCAATTAATAATCCTTCAGGCGTTTCCCTAAACGATATTTACGATGGCAAAATCACGCAAACCGTGTAACCTTCATACACGCGTATTAGGAGACAATGTAATATTCATAATTCCGAGGTGATCTATAAAAACAGCGTAGAGCGCGTGGTTGTAATTGTATTCAATTCTCATTTGCATTTTAATCCTCGTTTAATACGCTTTTTAACGAGGCAAGGATGAAATTATTCTCATGCAACTGGCACTCGCTGTTACACGTATATCCACATTAATTAAATGTATATGAGCTATTTCTGATGGAATTACACACTTTTAGGAGACCTGTTTATCATAGTACAGGAGAAACAAAATTTTCAGAAAATTAAATACGAAATAATATGTTTTTGATTTGCGAACGATGAAAATTGAAGTGTATTTTCCAATCGACTGCACGTCCGAGTAGTAAATTAGCACACCCTGACTTACATGTCATTTATTTTCCTCTCGATGGGGAACAAAAGTAAAAAGAAATCAATACCTCCGGCAACGAGGTCAAACTTATATAATCGCGCTTATTACGTTCACGTGAAAAAAGGAGATTGAATTTTAAAAAAAAAAAAAAAAAAAAAAAAAGAAATCACCCTGACAAACGTATTTGCCGCATTAACGATCAACCGATCGCTGCACCAATTTTTAAGAAACCAGCGCTACTTCCCACTTTCTGTAAATTTCCAAAGAGAGAAGGAAAAAAAGGCCCGCCTATATGGAACAGCTCAGCTGCATTTTTGCCTCAATTTACCCCCCAAGCCAAATTTATTTTTGTCTTCCTCCATAACACCAAAGCAACGATTAGGAATATGCGCAAACTTAATCCACCACGTGCCCATATAGTCACATGTAAGCACCTACAGGTAATTTGTAAACTCGCACGTATATATACCAAAACCTATTTATACACGCGAGGCATCGGAATATCGAACAAGGAAACAACGTGCGCACTCGTGCGCTTCATAAACGACTGCGAAGGGAGGTAATCGAGGGGCGACAACTTTCTCTAATCTAAATAAACCTACAGCTGCGCACGAGGAACTTACATTTGCGTCACACACGTCGAGAATACAGTCTTTCCTTTGGATAAGTATAAGCGCCTCTGTACGGATACGAGGTACACGTGCATAATTTTACACGTAACGTATACAATATATACCGTAGATTGCGCCTCCGAGCTGTATATGTATGTACATACGTTGGTTGGATTAGCATTTGCTCGGCAAATCGATTATTGGGGATGGTGTGTACGTAACACCACCAAAGGCACACAAGTCACATTTCACCGCAAAAATGGCCCAAACAGCTTACGTGTCCCCCATCAGAGGTTCACACGATTCAGGAACGTATACGTAAGTATCATGGGTCCCCATTGGATGGGCACTTCTTGCGTTGGAAGTTTGAAATTCGCATTGACTGATACTTGCGAAGGTTCGCTTCTTTTGTCTTTATGTGTACACACACACATGTGCTAAAGGATCTCGTTTTCCCATGCAATACGCTGTGGATAAGCGTACACTTTAAGCGAGGATGTACGGGGTAGTTCCTACACGAGCATCATCGCTCACTGCAATAATTTCCATCGTCGTCGTGAACGGAGAAAATTGCCGCGGACCTCTCTCCTTCGTAGTTAAGACACGGCCGTGATCTGTATTTTACCGAGAAGCCATGAGAGAACCAAGAAAGCACACCGACGTGCAGCTGTGGTATATTGATCCGCTCTGAAGAGGTATATTAGGTGCCACGCGTGTGTACGTATATACACGTGGAGAAAGCAGCTGATTGAAGTTTAATAAAAATGGCACGTGCGAGCGATACAGGCGAACGCGTTTTTTTAGAGGTCGGACATTTTGATGATGATTTCGGGAATGTAAAATATTGATACTGTGCTGTACTTATACGCGTCACTCAATGGATTCTCATTCATCGTCGCTGGATCGTAAAATTGAAAAAGCTCATATTGTAAAATATTCACGCACTGGTATACTTATTGTTATAGAGTACACGTTCTTGATTTCGACTCCGGCTGTTTCTCTTTTCTGTACGCGTGGCCTTGAGTCATCAATTTTAAATTCCATTGTTTGACATTGCCTCGTGGCAAATGTCTGTGGTCCGTAATTTTTTGGTCGACTCAAACTAAAGTCAGTGGAATTACCAGATTGTCCACGGATATTCGTGGAAACCGAGCCGGTGATGATCGCGTGAGTTGTGATGCCATCGTTTGCCAATAGGTGCTCTATTGCCATGTTAAATGGCTGTTGATTGGATTTATTTGGGCATCGCATGATTTCTGAAAAATTAAGCAGCCGTACCCGTTAAATCACCAATAGCAACTTCTACTTGGTCCACTCTCTGCTGACAGTATAGCTCATGTGCTTCCACTCTAGATGTTAATTCTCACAATGACATGGATTTCCAACAATGAGCTAACTCACTGTTATCTTCTGTCAATCAGTCCCAGCATACATTGGCTTCCACGTCGGTCTTCCGTTTTTCCGTACAAATATCTAGTGATTAATGCCAGTACTCATACGTGGCTGAAGGTGGTTGTAGTTGGAATGTAACTCAAAAACTTGCGAACTTTGTAATGTACTCAAAACAAAACGACTGGGTAATGTTTTATCCTGGCCACGCTAAAATTTAAATACACCGTTCAAGAGGCCGTGGATACAAATCATTGCCAAATTATTCACCAAAGCTTTCAACTAACAAAATACGGCCTTTTATTTGACCTCAGGGGCAGAACTTTACCGCTAACCGCTTCATGACTACAATAAACTAACTCTTCGATTTTTAGCGCCACGAACTCTCATCGTTCAGCTGACACTTTTTTCCCGTGGGTACGACCAGAGATGTCAATAGGATTCGACAAACGATACGACTCGACTTTAAGTACATTGTTATTTTCAATTATTGACATGCTAGTCCAGCGCCTCTATTTTTCACGCAAATCGAAAGGCAGCATTGATCCCTCGATCGAGCTGTAAAACCAACTGGGCGTTAAAAAGCGTGTAACAACGGTGAAGAACCAACATAATATTGCCCGTAATGAAAGTTTGTACGCAGGTATATACTCAGTAAGTGGCGCGTTAAAAAGGCCCATAAGAGGAGATGGCCCATGGAACGCCGTTCCGTAAATGGATTCGATCGGGCGCCACTCACGTTCCCGATGCGTGACGTGTACAATATACCCGCATTATATTATGTGCACCTTGTGCGGTAAGAAGAGGAGAAGAAAAAGAGGGAAAGCAACGAGTCACGGCAAAACGTGTAAATGGTGAGTATATGCAGTGATTTCTTTTGTACTCACACAGGTACGCCAGGAGGCGGGTCCCAGACGCACTCGCCGGTCGTCAGGTTAGCGTACATGTGCTCCTTTGTCTTGGGCTCGATGATCTCCACCCACTCCATCCTGAAAAAGAAAAAAAGAACAAATGCGTTAATGTGGTTCTGAGCAACACTCGTAAGGTTAACGTTATTGGGTTGTGAGGACGTTACACATAAAAGAGGGTAAAAAGGAATCAAGGTACATGTATCCAGTTGGCACACGAACGGGTATACATTGCGTTGTGTGTGAAAGGGACAAGATAGAGGAAGAGAAAAAAAAAAAAAACACTTGCATCCGCCGAACAGATGGGACAGACAGGTAGATTGCCTTGGGAGCGGAGGAGGAGGAGGAAAACAGATGCTGCACGAAGAGAGAGGAAGAGATCTCGATGGATCGGTGCGCTGGATTTTCCACTTTGGCGGTGTTGGTTGTACACGTGTATAGAGGTGACTAATCAAGAGCTTTCTCGCGAATGCGCTCTCTCGCTTTCTTTCATGGAAATTTTAAACGCCGAATTAATCATGGACTAAGACCTCTGCAGTGGAGTGGAAAAAAGTACTGGATGCAAATTTTTTTTTTTTCCCCCCATCGTACGATCGTGATTACCAGGGTAGATTTGAATACCATCGCGACACTATAATAATATGGAATGGCATTGGAATTTTTGTTTCTGGAGGTTATATATACGTCTGGAAAGTGAGTACAACATTTAGACTCGATAAAAAGTGAGTTGTCCAATCACATACGTTTCATCCCGTGAAAAAAAAAAAAACAAGTCTGGCTACGGTCTGTCAAATGTCAGGCTAATGAGAAAACTCCAGACTTTTTCGGTATTAAATTGTCTTCTTTGAATAAAAATTACTCATTAAGTCTTGACAAACGTATGATTTAATTGGATATTAATGAGATGGAGATTAAGTACTTATGAATAATGAGTAATTAATCTATTTATAAATTTCAAAAATTTATGATCATTTACCTGGCATTATAAAACACATATTTTTGGACTACTTAAAAATCTACTTCATTAAGCATACGTGTATCCAAAAAACACATAACAACAAAAAACAATTTGAAGCTTTGGCTTTTTTTTTATTTCTTAAGGTATTGCGCATGTTCATGAGAACCCGTCGATATACTCTTTATTAATCATTCGGTTTTCTGCAGGGATCTTCTTCTTTACGTAAACAGTAAAATAAATTTCACTTAATGTTTTTATCATGTAATCAAACTCGTATTAATGGTACACTCATACGAGATTAATTTTTTCATTTGCTATATTATCGTGCATTCTGATCAAGTACGCCATGATAGAAAACAGTTTGACAATCAACCACATTAAACGCGAATAAATATAATTAGCTAAAAATAACCTTCAACGCTTTCATCGTCCACGTGGGTGATAAAAGCCCGCGCTGTGGAAACTCGAACTTGAAACTCGCGTCGGACGGTTATTGACAAAGGGAATCGAGGCCTTGGTCTAATGGCCTGGAAATTGCGCCGATGCACGAGCACTCCAGAAAAAAAAAAAAAAAAAAAAGGGCTGCCACGCACATACACGCGCGTATACGTCATGCGTCACGGCCCAATCAATCTGTTATTCGCCAATGTCAACCCTCCACGTCAATAGAATTTCATCGGCATTGTGAGCTCCCCCCCACGCGCGAACTCAATTTTCCAATCAGTCGGCCAAGTACAGTTTAGTTTTCGAGAACCTCTTGAAAATCCATACTTGCAACCCAACGCTGACCCAACGAACAATGAACGCTACGCGATGGCGAAGGGTGAAATCAACGAGAAAAGCTCGTCAACCGTGACAATTCTAATGCTCCCTTTTGATTCACCACCAGCTAGCAACAAACCGCGTCTCGAGGAAGAGGAAAGTATAATCCCCACGCACCCTCGGAAGTGATGTAATCCCACTCACTGCAATGCACAGAGGAAAAAAAAAAAAAGACACGTACACACTCACTGCTCTATAGTATCGCTTTTTTGCACCCCCCCCCCCCTGTGCTTGGCAAGTTTCTCCGTTTAGATGTACCAGAGCTGCCGCACACGTTGCAGTGTATCTCCATGTACGTACGCAACACACACGGACAAGAGACAGTTGTAGGGACATGAAAAAAGGCGTCTCGAGCAGAGCGAAAGGGGAAAAAATCGCGCTTAGAGTCGGAGGAAAGAGAGATACACTGGCTGTGTATGTATATGTATATGCATGGAAAAGAGAGGCTCGACGAGCTGCACATACAGACAGAGAGAGAAGGCAAGGCATCAGGAGTATAGAGTTTCTAATGCCCGATTGTGCGGGCGGACAATGGCATCACGCGGGCGCTGAGCCGCGGGAGCTGGAAGCACGGAGGAAACGAGGAGTCAGGGGAGGGAGAAAATGACGGGGGGTTAAAAAAGTGCCGAGCGAGCAAGCAACGGGGCCGGAATCAGCGAAATGACTGCGAGTGCAATGACGATGGGGCGTGGGGGGGGGGGGGAAAGAGCGGTGATGGTGATTACGAAACGGAATCGCCACTTAAACTCTGCGGCATATGCATGACATAGGCCGAGTAGGTCAGTATGTTCGCGCGCGTCAATGGATGCATGTGTGGAAGGGGACAGGGGAATTATAAAAGCGCTTGAATCACCGTGTAACGCAAACCGATCGCTGTCGAGAAGATGAGCAGTACAAGAGGAGCGAGATACAATATGTTTGGAGGAATTCACTGTGCAAAGATTTTCTTTTTTTTTTTTTTTTTCGTCTTATTGTTTGAAAATTTTTGCGTTTATAAGGGCTGATTCTTAACAGTAGATTAATAAGTAGTGGATGGATGTGCGAGGCCTTCTTTTGAAGTAGTTTACATAGTGGCATAGCCAACATTTGACAGCAGAGATTAACCCAACGGAGAAAAGAGTTGCTTTTGAGTATTCCTTTTTTCAATAAGACACAATGAGATGTATTCTAAAATATTGTTTATGTAAATTTAAAAAATAATCACAATAAATTTTCTCCAACTTTTCAATCTGGAATTAGTAATTAACATTTGGCTCCCAACAAGGGAGGCTAAAGGGGTTGTATATGGGTCTTATTTACACCGGTAATTTTTGAGAGACCATTTCTTGAACTCTTCGGGTATAGGAACAAAAAACATCGCACTAATGAAAGTTTGTACGCAGGTATATACTCAGTAAGTNATATTGATGATGATAATAACCCTACCATATAATGCTGTAAATACAACATACTTAAAAATAAAAAAGTTTTTGTGGGAATAATCAAGAAAAAAATATCGTTTCAATTCACGACTATGATAAAATTTTAAAAAAATTAAAACAACTACAATTGAAGATAAAAAAAATACTGTCTCAAATTATGGACATTTACACATCATTTTTAACTTTCGATTTTGGAGCTTGTGAAATACTGATCCAAGTACATTTACTTTGTGTTAACATGCATACAAAATCTATCGCTGCATGTGTGCAGTGAAGGTCGATGTACCTCCGAATATTCCACAGTAGATTTCAATTTCTGTATGGTAATTTTATTAACTGTCCCATGTTTAAAACTACCACATAAGCCCCAATAATTCAAATTTGTATGCAAGTTTTTTTTTTAATATTTATGCAGAGGGGACATTGGCACTTCTTTTGCGAAGATATATCCGTCTATTTACACCAAATAGAAAAACTGAATTACATGTGCATGTATCGGCCAATTCACTATGCCAACTTTGATTGTATACCACGTCATTGTTAAATGACAATTACCAAATATTGTCTTGAATCGTACAACTGCTAATTTAATTTCTTAGGAAAATCCATTTCTAGTCTATAGTTCAAATGACGTATTTTGTGCGCTAATAAATTTTGAAAAGTATCTCAATATCCATTAAATTGAAGTTTGAGATTTTAATTACAGTTTTTAAAATATATACTGACTGGTTTTCCACACTTTGTTCCACGTCATGAGTACAAGATGTTCTTAGCAAACATAGAATTTTCATTCGACATTATTAATGAATGATTGAGCTATCGTAATCCGAGTTATATCAAGTTGAAAAGTGTTATCAACACTACTTATTGTTTTGATAAAACCCTAATCGTATCAACCGTAATGAAGTGAAATATCTCTAATTGACGCGTACACCTGTCAAACTTACGTCAACAGACCCTCTACTTTTCACATGGCAAACAAGGCACGTTCGTTATATAAAGATAACTTTTTCATCACCATCGTGTAGTTTCACGAAAAATCGTACTTGGCATTAAAAGCATTATGCGCACCAATCTACCTACCGTTTTTGCAGCATCTCTCCTTATACTGATTGGCAACGGTATGTTTAACTGTATCGATATGTGAATTTAATCAAAATATTACTAGACATAAACATAAGTATGGTACGTAACAAGAGTGCACATCAAATGATTTTGCCGGTACATCTAGGCCGAGAGATTATATTGGCTAGTTCTTATATTTATCATGTGTATGTTGTTTTATTCTTTTCCTCTCACTAAATTCATGTACAAATAATAAACGTAGTGTATTAAACGTAAAAATATGGTGGAAGTTATGAGATGCTGGAATACCTAAAATCATAATTGGCAATGAGTACACTTTGCAGCATGTAGACTTCCTATACTAAAAAAAAATAAAATAAAAACGAGCGATAAATTTGGTTCCAATAACCCACTATTTTAACTTTGGTGAGCCAAAGTAGAACACCTGTTTAGCTAACGTTGCTTAAAAGAGCCAAGCAGGAATTACTTAGGGCGTAAGACTAATCTGACCAGTCACAATATGAATCGATTAGACTATTTTCTTTTATATCTTTTTTACACTCCACTGTTTTGCAATTCCATCTTTCTTCGAGCCAAGAAGAATAAGGATCTATTCTAATCAAACTAGCTGGGGTCCTAGTTACCTTTCTCGTTGAAAATTACCCAAATTAAAATTTTCTTATGTTCAATGTGAGTGGAATCCTTCACTCTTATGAACAGTGTTCTCCTGTAACTAGCGCCCTAACTTTTGAGCCATCACCACTTTAGTAATGTTTTATTAACCGAAAGAATACATTATTCTACATATTTTTCTA